CCCTTCGGACCGCGAGGCATAGGCGGTGGCCCACGTCGTCCATGCCTTACGCCGCCCTTGGTCATAGAAATGATGTAATTTGAATATAAATTATTTATAAATACGTATGTCAAGTTATATTTTTATTTCTACATAAAATATATTAAGAGTTTATGACCACTGTGCTGGGTGAGACGTTGTTGAAACAAAAAAGTTATGCATTCCATCACGTGCATAAACAGTGTCGTAATTAGCCAAGTGCAAATCAGCATATTCGTAAAATTTTGTTTATTTTGAACAATCCGGATAATCGAAAATCCGGATAATGGAGGTCCAGATAATGGAGGTTCTACTGTATATTAAAATCACGATAAAATATTTTCGCACGGGAAAAAATTTTTGAAAAAATTTGAAGACTTAATAAACATCCAAAAAAAACGGAAAAAATTTTTTCGGAGGGCCCAAATGCCCGAGTTTTATATAATGCTATGAAACTTGCCCGAGTTATCTCAGGTTTTAAAGATTGCAGCATTACTTCTTGCCGCCTGCAGATGGGCTGTGATTGGTCATCCATATTCAGCAAACGAGATCAACAATGCAGTTAAGGAGACAAATTCCCTGACTTTCCCTGACTTTTTCCAAACACTAATGAAAATCCCTGATTTTTCCTGACTTTCCAGGTGCGTAGGAACCCTGTATATATAAAAAAATTAGAAGGAAGGTTAATTTTAAACTGAAATTAATTGAGGAATTATTCAATAAATATGGTAACAGTATTGAGTAGTAATGGTGCATTTTTTAAAAATACAGTAATACAAGCTCTAAAATGATCAAATATATATTGTATTACTGTATTTTCCATGGTAAGAGAATCACATTTGCCTTCTCTAGGCTGCCTCCTAGGTTAACACTTTTCGAGCAAATCTGAAATATGAGAAAGTAGAAACTTAGAGAATTTGTATGATATGTGCAGCAAAGAAAAAAGAACTTTAGTAAAGTATTTTTGCAAACAATGCAATTAGCCTCTTTGTCTCATCTAATGCTTCAAACATTATCACATAAAAGTAAACTTCACATAAATCTGTGTAGTACTATTTTTTATGTTGTTATTATTTTTATATTATGGTCAGTATTTTTTTTCATTATTTCTGTATTTTCTATGATATTTGAATTATGTGTATTTCTGCATTTTTCCATAGTTTTGTATTACCTTTGTCTTTTATTAGTATTTTTGTATTATTTTTTCTTATTTTTCATCTGTAAATAAAGAAATTGATTTACTGTATATGCTTTCTTTAAAAATAAAAACAAAACATAAATTACAAACTAATCTTCCCTCTCCCATTATGAGTTATATATTTCTCTAAGCAGCTATAAAATGACAAAAAGATATAAAGTCAATCAAAATAAAAATTAGCCAAGCACAGCTTTAGAATCTGAACAAGCTATACTAGAGCCTATTATTTACATAGCTATCTCCATTTACCTTGCTGCAGGGTGTGGTTACATTTACAGAAATCTCAGTGAAGAAACTTTCTGCTACAATATTGTTTACATATTACTATTTACATTTCAACTATTATTATTATTATAAAAAACATAAAATTGCTTATTATAGTAGTTTTTTAAGAGAAAATTTCTAAATAATTATTTAGAAATTTTCTCTTATTACAGCAGGGAGAGATGTTTAATTTTCTGGCAAATTTATAGCTAGATGGTTTTGACAAGATGCTTACTTTTTTAAATGGTGTAAAAAATTACAATTATCATATCAGAGCTTAAAAGATGACTAAAACAAACAATTTTACAATGTTTGTTTACATTTTGTCTCCAAGGAGATAGCAGAAAGGAACATTGACTTTTGTGCCAAATCTATAGCTAGACAGTTCTGACAAGATTCTTATTCATTTAAATAGTGTCAATCAAAATATAAACAGCTAGACACAGCTTAGAAGGTACTTTTACAAGAGATTTAGCAACCAATTACCTACAACAAAGTCTCCCATTACTTTAAAAACAGGGAGGGGTTGAGTTTTGTGGAAAAACATATGTTACGAGGAAGATAATAAAATAATTATTGATTTAAATAGTGTCAGTTAACCCAGATAAAAGCCAACCAGAACGTACATTGCCTCAAATGTGATTATAATGAGATAATATATCAAATCAAATACAATATCCCAATGGATAACTTTGCATGACCCTATGCACACATTAATTAATCACATACTCCAAACTGATGATGGTGTGTAGATAAAGAAAACAAACAAAAATAAATCTTTTCAAACTCCTTCCATGTTCTTCATCAGGTTTTGTAACAATTTCCTAATGGTTCTTCGTAACAGCTTTTGGAATAAAATTTGAACAAGCATTTGAATGTAAGTTTGAGAAAATTATCAAAACCATGTTGCTCCTGTGCAGAGTTGTCCTACCAGGACTCAACGAATGGTTAAACCATGTTGTCAATCAATTCTTGACAGGCCATTGACAAAACCATTTCCCCTTTATAATTTGTGCACGCTGATGTAAAACTGGATTTAAAAATATGTATCTAAGGTGTTCCATCTAACCATCTAAGGTGTTCCATGAGGGCAAAGCAAGTATCGTATCCAATTGGATATGTATGAATATAAGGATTATGATACTTTCTACACGAAAATGACATCAATAAATGAGTATCTTTGACTTACTTGATTGGTCATTGCCACAAATATAGCTAACAAAAACAGAAAACTATTTCCAATGTAATTTTCATGTATTTTCTCTTCAGGATAAGTGAAGAACTTATAGGCCATGTAAGCCAGTGCTGGAATGGTAACCATAAAATTATCACCATTCGTTTCTATAAAATCATGGCGTGTTATCGCTGTTGGATCTATGTGATGTTCTCGGAATGGACGAATAAAAGCCTGTAGAAATAAATGATTGTTTAAGTAAAAATATTTAGTTATTTAAATTAATATAAAATTAATAATATAAAATTAATTTTATACATTAATAAAACATCATCATCAACATCAAGAGTAATGAAAAAACTAGTCATTTAATAATGATTCTATTAAAATTATTAAATACTGCAATAAAAAAAATTATACTATAGAGATAAGCATGTTTATAAAAATAGATATGGCTTAAGAATAAATTTCAGTTCAGTAGAAATAAGTATTCATCAAGACTAGATTTTAAAATGAAACAACTTGAAAATATATGTCTGTAAAGCATAAAAAGTAGTTTGATAGTATTTAGGACCAAATATAATTTTAAATTAAGATCCAATTTTCAGTAAATACTCATACAGATAATATGTCTGTCTGCCACTTAATAAACTGTGACTTATGTCACTTAATAAATTATGTCATTTATAAATTATGACATTTATAAATTATAACATTATGTCACTTAATGTTAAAAGTCAACATACAATAGTTATAAATAAAAAATATAAAAAATATGACCAGTCATACAAGTTAAAAAAAAAAAATGAATAGTTAAAAGTTAAATTTATCTCAATGTAGAAGACATGGTTGCTATATCTTCAAATTCTGTGTGTAGCGTCTTTGCAATCCAAACAATAATTTTGGTAAATGATCAAATAGCAATTAGTTAGAAAACCATACGTTAGGGTTTAAATAAACCATAACGTTTTTCTAACCAATTGCTGTTTGATCATTTACCTAAATTATTGTTTGGATTGCAACGATGCTACACACAGAATAAATTTCTCTTTTTCAAATAAAACTTTTTTTGTTTTAAAATTTTTTAAAAAATTAAAATTTTAAAAATAGCCTACATTTCTTGATGTTCCAAAATAAAAATACTTACTTTTCCAATAATTGGTAGTTCTACAGAACCCCATGTATCTGCTCCCCAATGGACTAATCCACTCAAAAAATCTGCTGTAATTATTCCACAAACTGAAAATAAATTTTATAAAATATTTTTTTAAGAAAAAAGAACAGCTTAAATTATAAAAATACTTAAAAACTAAGCAGCTACTTCNTTTTGTTTTGTATTATATGCCTGAAGATGTCTGTTATAAATGGATGAAAACATCAGTAAATATTTCTTAATTTCAAATATGCTGGTATTGTTATGTTGTGTATCTACATAATAAAAAAAACAAGAGTTGGAGTCAATCCATTTTTACCCTCTGCCTTCTCTAGTAGCGGATTTGCTTCTGACTCAGACTGTAGACCTGGTTTAAACATTCAATTCTTAGTTTTTTGTATTTTCAACTTTTTTGTAATTAAAATAAACATTAGTTTTGCTGGCAATATATGAAGGTGTACTGTTATTAATTCATCTTATTCTGTTCAAGATTAATTTTGTTTAAATACAGAGTTCATCTTTACTTCAACACTGGAGTAAAATCCTCACTTCTGTAACCTGTTACTGAAATGAAAAAGACTCTCTGGATCGTACCAGACTTCCTGGTATACACTCCACCCCATTTAAGGACAACAGATGGGGCAAGGACTTGTTATATATTGGTTCTACCAAACGTTCCTTAAGTACTCATGTAAGAGCAGACATTCAACATGGACAGCACACTACTGCCCTCGCTACATATGCATCTGATCCAGATATCGAGACGGAGTTTGACAAGGCCAAAATCATTGTCAGCACACCCTACCAGCACCATCTTAAATGGTTACAAGCCATAGCCATTTACAAAGCTGGCCGAGAAACCACCTGTGTCAACTGGGAGGAGCTTAATCTGTCAGACACTCATAGATGCCAATCCGTAATTATATCCATCAACGCACAATCAGTAGACCCTCATAACTCAGGTTCCTATAACGGAGATTCCTATAACATGGCGAAAAAATTGCGACAGTATTCGTATAAAGACGCTAAAAGGAACTCATAAAATGTCGTCACTGACTCGTGTCACAACAGGATTAGTTGAATCTAGACCAATAGTAGACAAACAGCCAAACTACTTACATGCTAGAGAGTTTAGGCGAGTAAGTTGAGTTTACTATAGTCTGTACAGTATTATATATAAATTAGGTGCTGTATATATAATTATATATTAACTTAATTTATTTTAACTTTATTATAATTATATACTGTAAAGTCTCTTTTTATACGGATTATTTTTATGCGATTTTGAAGTTGTGCGGTTTGTATTTCATCCAAAAATTTTTTGGACAAACATACATATAGACTTGTTTAAAAAGCCCGCGTATAGACAGTCTCCAAAAATCGTGGAACGCTCAAAGCTCACTCCATTTGTTCCACTGACATATAACGTTTATGGATGTAAAGGACAGCTAGATCCACCTTAATCGCTTTAGTTCCTAGCAATTTTTGATATAAATGTAATTAAACATAAAAAATACTTAAAACTGAAAAAAAATGAAAGAAATGCATTAATTTTGAAGAAAAAGCTTCAAAGTTTAACTTCCTTTGTCTCGCCCTTCTGTGAAATTTAACACCGATGAGTCATTGTTTACACATCTGGATGACCTTGAACACAGCTGGAGTTGGATTTCCTGGGGCATTCTCATAGACATCGCGGGAGGACAAGGGTTTAAAGTAGGGTGAACACTAACTGCCGTATATTTTTAAATATTTTTTAAAAATTTGGAGACTTAAAAAAACATTCCAAAAATTCAAAAAAAATTTCAAAAATGCCCTTAAGGGCAGTGTTTTATGTAACACTATGTAACCTGCCCGAGTTAACTCGGGAGAGAAACTAAAGGGATTTTAATTAACTCTTCACATCCAGATGTCAGTGATTTGTTTTTAGAGTGAGCTTTTGCAATTCGGGGTTTTTAGAGTGAGCTTTTGCAAATTTGCCCTTGTACATGATACTTACTATCGACAAGTGCTATTACATCATTCTGAGTTTCGCATTGAAAGGTATAAACTGTAATTGTTTTGAAATTAAATTTTATTTTAGCGGTGTTTTGTTAATTTTTATAATAAGTAGCGAGTTTAAATTTTGCTGATTTCAAGTTGCAGTATTAAGCAGCCTATTTCTTTTAATTTCTGCAAACTTTTTTATGCGGTTTTAAGTTAATTTTAACTTGTTGTTTTGGTTTTATGCGATTTTAGAAAATTATGGAACGTATCCCTACTTTTTCAAGGCAAGTAAAGTCTTTTTTTATGCGAATTTTTTGTATGTGCTTTTCTGTAGAACGTATCCACCGCATAAAAAGAGACCTTACAGTATATACTTTACGCCGTCCAGCACCATGCTATGGAGAGTTTAGGCGAGTAAGTTGAGTTTACTATCGTCTGTACAGTATGTAAATTAGGTACCGTAAGTCTAATACAGTACTGTAATTTTATACATTTCTTGTGAAAGAAACATTTCTTATTCAACGGCCATAAAAATTATTTATATTAATATGTCTCCAAAGGTCAACGAATTTTTTGCAGAAAAATAACTTATCAGAAATCGCGGCCGCTGTTTGGTGCACTGCTCCGCGACAAAAACAAGCTTAAGCAATGGCAACGTCAAACAGTGCACACTCGGTAAGTAATCCTACAATTTTTTTGTTGGTAAGTAATTTTTTTCAGTAAGTAATCTTACAAAACTGCGAACTGGTGGCGTAAGAGTGGGAGAAGGGAAATGATACTAAAACTTAACTTACATAACATAATGTAACAATAACTTAGAAAAGATTAAAAAATTAGTGTTGTTTTATATATTTTTAAAAAATTTTTATTCACTGCTCTTTGCTTTCTTTCCTTCACTTCCACCAGCACTTTCACTGGATAGAGGTCGCTTGGTAAAATATCTATCCAAAGAGGTTTGGCTTTGCCTACTTTTTAAAATGTTTCTAAAATGACTTAGGCAAATGTCATTACTCCGAGCAGCAATACGGCCAGTGTGAACCTTGTCGGGATGTTTCTTTTCAATAAAATCAATCACTTTCTGATAATATCTCAAGATTTCCTTTATTGAGCAAGATCCTTCCACGACGAAGCAAACACGTGGACTGAGACCGAAGTGAATAAAAAATGGCACTGTGAACTAATGTAACGTCATATGGTGAGTTTTTGTTCATATCGTGGAACAAAAACATGTTCGAATTTCATGTTGTATCCTGAAAATTTTGTATACTGAGGCGTTCGTATCCTGAGGTACCACTGTATTAGTATAGATTAATATATTACATTAAATTTTAAAATTTCAACTTACAGGCTGCAAGGAGGATATAGCTCCATTGACTAGGTTGAAAATAATACATCAGTTGGCAGAAATTGATTGCCATTAAAGTAAGGCACAATATCACACAGATCATTTCTTGAATACGTTTACCTAGATTAAAAATATTAAAATTTTGTAATAGGAAATATCATTATTTTTTAACATTTTATATAAAATCCTTTCACAAACATTAAAAATTAAATTTACCAAAATAAAACCATATAAGCATTATTTAGTACAGTATAACTTCATTTTTACAATCAAACTGATTCCTGAAAATTGTTAAATGAATTGTGTTTCTCTAAGTTCAGTCATAAAAGAAAACTATATTCCTTAAATTACAGCTTTAATTAAATAAAAGATATATAGTAACTTTAATGTTATGTCAATACATTCTCATTTTGGAAATAAAAAAAAATGTACACACAATGAGGTCTGCACATATTTTTGCATATTCCATTTTATCCACATTTATAGTAATTGGACTTTTTTCTTTGTTTTAGTGTAGCATAGTTACCAACTATGCTACCACCACCTAACCAGATGGTTATTTGAGATTTGTGGGATTATATAAAGATTTGTAATCTTGTAAAATAGTAAGGCTGATAATGCATTGTAAGGCCTTCCCTGTATTGCTGTGTAGCAACAGGAAAATATATTCAATATGATAAGAAAAAGTAAGACAGAGATAGGAAATAAATCACAACCAGAAAAATTGTTGTCCTTAATAATTGCAGTGAAAGTCAATAAACTGACTGATAACAACTGTCATGAGTACACTGTAACAAAATAAATTATTAACAAGGCAAAACATTACACAAAAAGTATATTAACAGGAGGCACTCACTCATCATGCAATATCAAGACTAATGACACATCAAGATGGAACACATGATAAATCCGGGTTTGGATTTATGATGTGTCCCATAAAATATCAATACTTGACCTTTTTTAAATTGTGACATTAAAGAGTATAAAGCTATTGCCATATTCTTGACAGTGTTTATGGTAACCCCTTGTTTGGTAAAAGAGTGCAGTTTTCTTCAGCCAAGTTTTGTGGAGTATCACTTGATTATATATAGTCTCTTATGAAATTTATACCTTAAGATAGTTTAAGACAAGACCAGGTATATCTTCTGGTTATGCAGAGGTATGAACTCATGGAAAAAATTGGAGTCTACAATCACATGTCCTCTTTTGGATTTTTACTATATGGTTATACCCAAAATAGCCTTTGCTCCCTTTGTAAGGACTGTCAGACTAAACTGTAAAGTTTGGCAGCATACTGCATGCCTTGCAATTACTGGCCACATCTATGATTCCAAGTAGTTCTCTTGATGGGTCTTCCTCCTCTGCATCTGTACTTTCAAACTGAGGCTATGTTTGACAAACATTATCTAGTCTTCTTTCTCTCTCTCATCTTGACTGACATATGAATAATGTAACTTTGTTCACAGAACATTGTCTAGTTTACAGATATGTCCAAAATTAGTAACAGTATAGGTGCTAGCATTTGTGGGAGGCAATCAGTAAAGACTTTTTGTCTTGCTGGATAGGTTCCTCCACTTCAAGCAAAGTTGTTTGTGTGTTTGCACTATTTTACACAGAGGTCCTCTTAAGATTATTAGGAGGACCTAATAAGGAAATACTTGAATATATTCCAATACCTTCACTATGATTACAGAGATGGCTAAAACCTATCTATATTAAACTGGTAGACTATTCTAACATTCCTGTACACAATTTGGCAAGGATTGTCCTTTTTGTTTGAAAAATTTTCAAATAGTATTAGAATATCAAGTATTTCTTTTGTAAAACTTTAATCTTAACAGTGGGTCAACAGATTAACAAAATTTTGGTGAAGATTATATAAATACTAATCATTTTCTGGGAGATGCATTCTACATCCAATTTTCTCTCTTATTACATTTATTATTTTTAATTCTCTCCCATCCTCTCTGATTACCAATATCTCAAACACTATAAGACAATCCAAGCTTTGTATAATTTCACGATTAACATCTTAAATTTCATTTGATAGCATTAATTATCTTTCAATTAAATGATGCATTCTATATATAATTTATATCTACCAAGAGCTATTTACAACAAACTTTTCCATCAAACAAATGGATGAATCTTTTAATTGCATGTTTAGAGTTAGACTTGAAATCTGAACCATTAACCTCTCCAACTCTCACCATACAGAATATTGGAAATGCTTAGAAAACTGTTTTACAAGTAAATATCATATTCATTTTTCTGTTGATCAAAATTTATTTTTATTGTATGCTATGTGATGATGATAAGGTAATATAGATAATATATTACAATGCATAATTTTGATGATGATTTTAATAAAAATTCTTCTAGAATGATTTTGTAGTTAGTCACTATTTCCACATCAAAGTGCTTATTATTCTGAGAAGTAATACCTCAAGTGGACTTTTGAACTAGTCAAATGACACTTGGAAAAATTTATTTTTTTTAAATATTCAAACATTAGAGAAACATGTTACAATCAAGAAGTCATATTGTAATAATTAAGAAATAACTAGCTTTGGATATAAGAACATAATAATACATTTATATTCTAGCAACAAATTTTAAAATCAAAAACAAATTCTGCTATTTTTGACTAATTATAAAAAAAATGAACAAAAAGTTTTTACTGACATCTAAATGTCCAACTGCAACTGCTGATTAAGATCATATGCTTAACACCTTTTAATTTCCAGCAAAATCTTTTTATTTTTACTAATGTTTTTGTTTAAACCAGGGCTGTGAAATTGTTAGACTAACTCTCCAACTCAAAAAATACTGCCTGACTCAAGACTCCTGTCTACAAATAATAATTTAAAGTATACTTCTTTCATTGTATTAACCCAGAATGACATTTCATAACTACCAAGTGAATCATCAGGCATTCCTGTCAAAACTGAAAGTACTTATCCTTTTTTTTTTTCAAAGAATTTTTCACTATCACCACTATCAACTTTAACAACACTAACACGCAATGTTTTCCCTCTGAGGCTATAATAAAGTATTCAACAAACACTAGATTTAATCCAATTCTTGTTAGCTGCTTTGCATGAGTCTTTTGACAAAAATTTAGAATTAGCTAACATAGAATTTATTTTACTATCAATTTCTGAAAGGAAATCAACAATTATTAGTGATATGCAAAGAAAGATCATGAAGTAGGGGAATCATCATAAAATAAAATCTTGCATTACAGGAGGTTCCTATAATACAATATAGGAGGCCAACATTCCTATTAGGAGCTTAATATAAAGTACATAATAAACAATAATATCTATTCAAAAATATTTTTAAACAAAATATGTATTTTGTTTAAAAATAATTTTAAACGGTTTTGTAACATATATCAAAAATAATTTTAAACTGTAAACATACTTTGTTCCAGAAACAATTTTAATTTGAATTTGTAAATCGTTTGTAAAAAATGCATTTAATTTTAATGTAGTCATTTTGTTTTGTATTATATGCCTGAAGATGTCTGTTATAAATGGATGAAAACATCAGTAAATATTTCTTAATTTCAAATATGCTGGTATTGTTATGTTGTGTATCTACATAATAAAAAAAACAAGAGTTGGAGTCAATCCATTTTTACCCTCTGCCTTCTCTAGTAGCGGATTTGCTTCTGACTCAGACTGTAGACCTGGTTTAAACATTCAATTCTTAGTTTTTTGTATTTTCAACTTTTTTGTAATTAAAATAAACATTAGTTTTGCTGGCAATATATGAAGGTGTACTGTTATTAATTCATCTTATTCTGTTCAAGATTAATTTTGTTTAAATACAGAGTTCATCTTTACTTCAACACTGGAGTAAAATCCTCACTTCTGTAACCTGTTACTGAAATGAAAAAGACTCTCTGGATCGTACCAGACTTCCTGGTATACACTCCACCCCATTTAAGGACAACAGATGGGGCAAGGACTTGTTATATATTGGTTCTACCAAACGTTCCTTAAGTACTCATGTAAGAGCAGACATTCAACATGGACAGCACACTACTGCCCTCGCTACATATGCATCTGATCCAGATATCGAGACGGAGTTTGACAAGGCCAAAATCATTGTCAGCACACCCTACCAGCACCATCTTAAATGGTTACAAGCCATAGCCATTTACAAAGCTGGCCGAGAAACCACCTGTGTCAACTGGGAGGAGCTTAATCTGTCAGACACTCATAGATGCCAATCCGTAATTATATCCATCAACGCACAATCACGTATGCCCGGCGAAACGGGATTTCGTCGAAATGACATTCAATTTCATTTTAAATCTTTACATTCTATTCTGAAGCATTCCAAACCTATTTGATCCGAAGAAGAACTTTGCGATAGTTCGAAAACATTTGTCACCCACTGTATTTTTTTACATGTAACGCATTGGTAACAGGTTACAGAAGTGTTAATTTTGTTTACTGAAAATTTTTATTAGTTATTTTTTATGCTAGAATTTTCATATGATATGACCTAAAAATAGGCAATGCAACTATCTGCTGGCCATTAAAAATGCTACACCAGGAAGGAAAGCAAATAGCAGAATCAAATTTATCATACTTATACAGTATAATAACAGGAAGACATGATTAAATTAACAGATAATTTTGAGGTACATAGCATGCAAAAATTAGTTCCCAGAGCAGCCGCCTCTAGCAGTAATAACAGCTGTAATTTGGCTGGGCATTGAATTGAACAGAGTTTGGATGTCAGTTACAGGTACGGTAGTCTATATGGACACAACTCTATGCCAGAGTTCAACTATCATACTGGGTGGCAAGTGGTGGTTGCCAGTTTCTCGGCAACCACTGACCAGACGCTCTCAATTGATGACAGATCTGAAGAACATGCTGTCAAGGACAAAAGTCAAACACTCTGTATTCAGAAAGGTCAGGACAGCATGGACAGCATGTGGTCGTGCAGTGTCCTGTTGATAGGTAGCATGACAAAAGCCTTTAAGATAGTGCACAGTGATGGGCCTTAACACATCAGAAATGTAATGAAGGCTGTCCAAATTACTGGCTATGCAAACAAACAAGAGCTGACTGGGATGTGTACCCAATGGCACCCCATAC